CATAACCTGTAGTTGCCTTTTTTCCTCTATGAATTTGCTTATTCTAGATAAAAATAATGTTGTTGTTGTTGTTGTTGTTATGTGCTGTTGAGCCAGACCCGACTCATAGCGACCCCTCCTTGGGCTGCCGAGGCAGTATCACTACGGAAGTAGATTACCCAGCCTTCCTACCGAGGAGTGGCTAGTGGGTTTGAACCGCCAGCCTTCTGGTTAGCAGTCAAGTGCCTTAGGCACTGTGCTAGCAAGCTCCCAAGCTATAATCCCAATAATTATAGATAATAATTGGAATTATTCCAATTCCTTATCATTGGAATCAGTATTTGTTTTTTGTGTCTGGCTTATTCAATTAGCATAACATTTTAAAAGTTCATCCACGTTGTACCATGAAGCAGAACTTCATTCCCTTTATGGCTGAATAATACAGATATACCTCAGAGATATTGTGGGTTTGGTTCCAGATCAACACAATAAATGAATATTGCCGTAAAGCAAGTTACACAAATGTTTTGGTCCCCCAGGGTCTGTAAAAGTTGTTTACACTATGCTGTAGTCTGTCACCATCACTTGTCTGTCAGCATGTTGTACTGCGCTGGCTTGTATGTTGCTGGGATGCTGGAAACCATGCCACCCGTATTTCAAATACCAGCAGGGTCACTCATAGTGGACAGCATTCAGCAGAGCTTCCAGATGACCGACTAAGAAGAAGGATGTCACCAATCAAACATAGCAAAGATTGTGAGGATGACACAGGACCGGGCACTATTTCCTTCTGTTGTACAGAGAGTCACTATGAGTCACAGCCAACTCGACAGCATCTAACAACAGCAACAACATAGTCTATTAAGTGTGTAGCAGCATTAGGAAAACGTTTGAAATTTCTAAGAATTACCAAATGGCACTGGTAGACTTACTCAATGAAGAGTTGCCACAAACCATCAGTTTGTAGAAATGCATTATTTGTAAAGTGTAACAAAATGATGTATGCTTATACTCCATTGTGTGGATATACCATATTTTGGTTATGTATTTATCTGTTGATGGTCACTTGGGTTTTTTATACCTTTTGACTGTTGTGAAGAGGGCTGCTGTGAACATTTATGTACCTGTTTGTTTGAATCCTTATTTAACTTACTATTTTTTAAAATAATTTTAAATATTTAAAAAATTTTATAAAGGGGTTCTGAGACCAAAAATTTGAGAACTACTGCTCTGAGCCACAGCTGCCTCTCATTAAATTATATGAGATATAGAAAACATCTAGTACGGTGTTTATATTGATACGCAATAATAACTTACTTATCCTCTCAATTCTAAGACACACTTTTCACATTTTAACATTTTTTAAATCAGTGTCTTGTCTGAAGAAACTTCAGCAGTTAGCCAAGTAAATTGTAAAATAGCTGTATACATAAATACTTGGTATTTTGAGAATTTAGTTTTGAGTTTTTAATTCTTATATCATTCCACTTGACTCTAGTAGTACCACTTAGGGTTGAATTTTTAATTGAATTTGCATCCTTAATAGTTGCTTAAAATGTCTACAGAATATCACAGTATCATACAGTTTTGAAACGAACACTTGTCTCAGCAGAAGATTGCCTGACACATGCCAGTTAATTCAAAGACAGCAAAATTTCCGAATCTCTGTGTCTAAATTCAAACGTTGGTAGGGTGACTTACCAATGTTCAGAAGTTGGTAAGGTGACTGACTGATGCATCTGGAAGAATATCTACCTGTCAAAAGCTTCTGGAAACTTTTAAAGAAGGTATTTAACTTTTCATCTCTACTTAATTTGGAAAAAAAATTATTAAGCTTAAGCAAGTAGAAAATGCAGGCAAAGATCATGATAGATTTTATTATGATCAGAAATAAACTGTCATTGCTAAAGGCACTAAGTAAATTGAATTCATGAGCACAACAAAGCAAACAGATGTTTTGAGTGCCGGCTGTGTACCAGGCACTGGGGATGAAGCACCTGTCTCTAAAATACAAACTTTTGTGGGAAAGACAGACAGTAGTAAGTAAACAAATAAGGTGTTTGCAGATGGTGGTGGTTGTTGTTGTTTGTCGTCGAGTCGGCCCCGACTCATAGCGACCCCTCCTTGGGTTTCCGAGGCAGTATCACTACGGAAGTAGGATTGCCCAACCTTCCTTCCAAGGAGTGGCTGGTGGGTTTGAACCGCCAGCCTTCTGCTGAGCAGTCAAGTGCCTTAGGCACTGTGCTACCAGAGCTCCCTTGCAGATGTAAGTGGGCAGAATGATAGGGGTCAGAGGGAGGAGAAAATAATAGGATGGAGCAATTTAAGACAAGTAGACAGGAAAGACTTCTCTGAGGAGGTGACATTTAAACTGTGACAGTACCCAGCAGTATACAGAGAGCTGGAAGAAGAGCTTGCTGAGTGGCCAGTACAAAGACCAGTGGCATCCAGTGATTATATGAATAAACTTATGTTCTCATCCTTTAAGTAAGCAATTCTTTCTTTTTAATTCAGTTTCTTGTTTTTACCTTAAAGTTGTTGATTAATTGATATCTTAATATTAGTTGTATCATGCTTTGCTGTTGTTGAGGATCAGATTTGGGCTGATAGTAATAGGATAGAATTGCCCCATAGGGTTTCCTAGGCTGGAGCTCTGGTGGCGTAATGCCTAAGGCATTTGATTGCTAACCAGAACGCGCAGTTCAAACCCACCAGCCACTGCTCAGAAGGAAGATTGGGCAGTCTACTTCCATAGTGATACCGCCTCAGAAACCCAGGGAGGGGTCGCTGTGAGTCAGATCCGACTCCACAGCAGTGAGTTTGGTTGTTTTTTTTTTTTTTCTTGGAATTTTCACAGCAGCAGATTGGCAGGTCTTTTCTCTCCCAGAGTGATTGGGTAGGTTTGAACCAACAACATTTTTGTTAGCAGCCAAACGCCTAACCTTTGCACCACCAGAGCTAATTAGTTGTGTCATATAGTTGAGGAAATATAATTGTTATGATGATAATTATTATTAACACCACTTGATTCCTCTATTTAAAGGTATTTAACTTCCAGTTACTTTTTAAATGGTTTAGGTAGATACCAAAGAGATTTGATTTTCTAAATTAGTGATCATAAGAAATTTACCCTGGATGGGATACTTTTTTTGTTTTTAATTAGAAGGTGGTCATCAGGATTACTTGGGGAGCTTTTTCAAAATATGTAAGCTAGACTCTTTATTAGGTGGGGATTCTGTTGCAGTATGTTTCAGGTTTAAAAGATTTGTGTTTCTTTTAAAAAATAATGTTTGGGCTTTTTCATTTAAAAAACAGTACATGTTCTTTGGGAGCTCTGATAGCATAGTGCCTAAGGCACTTAACTCCTAACCAAAAGGTTGGTGGTTCAAATGCACCAGCCACTCTTCGGAAGGAAGGTTGGACAATCAACTTTCGTAGCGATACTGCCTCAGAAACCCAAGGAGGGGTCACTATGAGTCGGGTCTAACTTGACGGCACATAACAACAACAACAACATGTTCTTTGTAGAGAATTTGAAAAAATGTATTGCTTAATTATAGTTATGTTTTCTTGCCCTTCTTTATATTGCACTGTATATTTTTAAAACCTTGTAATCTATAGTTGGCTAAGATAATTTAATAGCTTATACATTTTCCTAGTTTATAAATTTCACAGATTTTCCTACAGATCTTAATTTAAAACATTTAAAGTATTTTAAATAATTATCTAACACCTTCTTTATTTTGTTTTTTTAAAGAAATATTTTCTTATTGTGTGTAACAATAGCTAGTTAGAAAACATAATGGGAAAACCCAATCACAGCAGAAAATAAACAAACAACCTAGGAATTAATATAATTGGAAATTTGTTGACCTAGTTGAAGAAAACACATAACATATAGTAAGACCTATCAAAGAGGATTTATAACTGAGAGAAATGCCTTGCTCCTATATGGGAAAACTCAATAATGTGAAGATGTTATTTGGAATTAATTTGAAAAGTTAATTTCCATTACATGTGGGGAAGAAACTTATCAAAAGATAAGTCAATGAGGAAAAATTAGATTTGCAAATAACATATTAAAACAATTGGAAGAAAAAATTAAATTAGATCTTGATCTCATATCAAACTGTAAAAACTTAATTGTTTAAAGTGTAACTGTAAATGTGGTTTTTAATTTTAGAAGATTGAGCTTTAACTAAGCAAGCACAGTAATTTTTAAAATAAAATTTATTATCTTTTCCTATGTCCATTTCAAATATATTACAGCATTCTGTATATTAAATTTTTGATATTTTGGTGTTAAAGACTCATGTTTTGATACTGATTTTTTATTGCTGTACTCTAAAAAGTCTTATATATCATATTAAAAAATGTAAGAAGATTGAAGATTCTGTATTTAGTCTTATGTATGCTTCTATGCTGAGGTAGTAGCTTTATAAATAAAATAGGAAGAAATTATTCTGTACATAGATGGTTATATGCACTATAAAAATGTAAGAAGGATTATGGATTTGAGAGTATTTAGATACGGAAATGCTATCAATAATATTTATATCCTTTGACTCAAAAAATTTAATTGCAATATTTAGAATTTATACTACAGAAGAGAATAACACAAATGCACACAGATATAAAGATGTCACTGCAGATACACTTTTTATTTTTGTCATGTAAGAAAATTGAAAACAGTCTATATGTGCCCATCAGTAAGCATAAATGCTGATGAAAGCATTAAAATAATATGTTTCAAATTCATCATTGAATTATAAGAACTTACTTCTGAAAAACAAATTTTGTTCTAATTGGCAAGCCTCCTTATCTAAAATATGTACTAGATAAGCTTCTCCTTTATTAAAAGGCATCTATCATTTGCATTTGGTAGTTTGATACTGCCTCGGAAACCCAAGGAGGGGTTGCTATGAGTCGGGTTTGACTCGACGGCACATAACAACAACAACAACAACAACAACAAAGTTTCTGTAAGTAATGCTATCTCAGGCTTGCACTTTTTCTTTCAGAGGGAAAAGGAAAATAGAAGGTGGAAGAAGATGCTGGGATCTGAACGTGGGGTTGTGGAAGAATGGTTATCAGAATTCAAGGTAAATTGGACTGGGGTAAGGGTGTACTACGTGATTTTAGCTGTCAGTGATTTAACAGTCAGCAAATATGTGCTCTATGGAGAAACCTGTGCAGATTTTTTGATAGGAGGTAAAAATCATAAAACACGAAATTACATGTTTCACTTGTTGTTGTTGTTGTTGTTATGTGCCGTCAAGTCGGCCCCGACTCATAGCGACCCCTCCTTGGGTTTCCGAGGCAGTATCACTACGGAAGTAGGATTGCCCAACCTTCCTTCCGAGGAGTGGCTGGTGGGTTTGAACCACCAGCCGTCTGATTAGCAGGCAAGTGTCTTAGCCACTATGCTACCAGAGCTTACAACTCTTAAAAAAGCACTAATGTAGATAATGGCTAAAAGATAGCATAAAAATTAAAATAGTTGTTAGGATCAGGGTGGGGATATATAAATTTAAAAACATGTTCAATGAAAGAAAGGCAGGTTGTAAGCTTTAATAAGGCACAGGCACAGAAATAGGACTTGTGCACAGAAATAGGCTTCTGTTTCTTGTAATTAGTAATCACTCAGTGATTTGAGTGAAAACCATATAATTTATGAACTCTATGCAAATAAATATTTTTAAAAAACATAAAATACAAAATTGAAATATCTGCTACATTATCTTTTAGACCAGACTACTAGTTTAAGGTGACCTATTTTGGTGAATCTTGCTGTAATTTGTGATTTCTAATCATTTTTCAAGGTTGAATAGTTAAAAAAAATTATATAAAATAACATCCTAGTGTAATAGTTTATTTTATTAATTCTCATCGTAATTTCCTATATGTATATATTTTTTTCCCACTTTTCTTAGTTGACTCTATTACAACTCTTTTCAGATGGAACTCATGTAAAATAAAGTTCATGACTCTTCAAATCACTTTTATTTTCCTTTGGTGGTTTCTTTTAGGCATTACCTGACACTCAGATCACCAATTATGCAGCAACTTTACACCGGAAAAAAACACTGGTACCAGCCCTCTATAAAGTTATTCAAGATTCGAATAATGAGGTAGGAGAGTTCATAAGAAAAATATTTTTAACATTGTGAAATGAAATATGTGTATCAAAATCAATACTTGTAAGTTTTGAAGTTTTCCCTCTTAAAAAAAAAAAAATCCTTACTTAATGGGACTGAAAAACTTTCTTTCTGCTGTTTTTCATTCTGATAGTTGCTTTGGCTTTCCCCAACTCCTTACTTTACATATTTTAAAACGTTTTGATCACATTTGTTCCTGTTGAGGACAGATGTTTTGATTCTTGATTTGAATGACCATCACCTAAGTAGATTATTTCATTTGAAAATTTTGTCTGTGAAAGTTTGCTGTTCCAGAGGCCAAAATTTAACATTCTGATTGAGATTTGTTTATTTTAAATATTTCTAGATATTTGATTGATAATACAGGACTGTATCTCATCATTCTAATCCGTGAAATCAAACTTACAACACAGAATGATGCTGCTAGTAAATGTTAAAAAAAATGATCAGAGAAATCATTTTTTAGTGAAAGCATTTTTGGTCAAGATCAGTAAATTTAGAATCTGAGTTTCCTTTTATGTAGCCTTGGATAAAAGGAAAAAAAAAAATGCAGTTATCAAATCCATATGTCAATTTAACCAAAATACACACATTATCTTTCCTTCAACACGTTAGTACAACATACAGTTTTATCACCACTGGTTTCATGTGTGCTTTAACATGAAAATGAAAGGAACACCCAGGAAAGTAGCTTCTTATCTTCCCAGATACAGCCTACAAGAGAGCCTCTGCTGTGTACTGGAGTGAGTTTGAAGAAGTTCAGGTAATCGTCTCCTAACCAGCAGCTTAATTGAAAGTGCATCTTTATTTTTATCCTTTCACTAAAAGCTTGCTTATTGATCCCTTTCTTTCCTGTCTCTTCCCAGTTAGGCTTGCATCTGTTGCTATTTGTAGCAGCAATCGCAGGGTTCATTTGCTGCTTTTTCTGATGCTGTGTATTTCTGAATGTGTAAAAAATGTAGGTATGGGTGATATACATATATACATATCCTTCTTAGGAATTTTCAAAATTCTGTTTGTGTTTTCTTTTGTGCAAGGAGCTGTGGTGGTGCAGTGGTTAAAACATTTGGCTGCTAACCAAAAGTTCAGCAGTTCAAACCCACGAGCCACTTCATGGGAGAAAGATGAATCAGTCTGCTTCCGTAAAGATTTACATACAACCTTGAAAACCCTATGGGACAGTTCTACTCTGTCCTGTAGGGTCACTGTTAGTCACAGTCGACTCGATGGCAGTGGGTTTACTTTAGCTTTAGGTTTTGGTTTTGGTTTTGTGGTGACTTAACATTTAAATTTTGCTTATTAAAATTTGTCTGTTTTAAGTTTTCTCTTTAGATTGTAAGCTCTTCACAGGCAGTGATAATATATTGTGTATTTGTTACTTCCCCAGACTCTAATACTTTATCATGTACATTATGAATACTTGATAAATACTGGTTAGAATAATAGTGAACTACAAAATGATATTCTAAAATGCTGTCATTTTTATTAAGATTCAAATGTTATAAAAAATATATACAATTTGCATACTTTAATCTTTTTCCCCTCCTCTCTTTTTGCTAGCCTCCTTCTAAAAAATAAATCTTTGCATTGTCAGATTACAAAAGGGGCACAAGTTCTTTATCTTCATTTTTCTCCTCTGATGGATGTTGATAGTGCTATTGGTAACAGAATTTCCTGGAAAGGGTGTTGGCCATTTGTATTTGTGCTGGTAATAAACCCCTTTGAAGGAAGGAAAGGGGGTATAATGATGAGGAAGGAAAGGCTTGTGTTATAACGGAACTTAGGAAACTTGAATAAATATACACGATTTTATAAATGTTTAGCTTACGTTGTGCCTTTGAAAATGCCAGAGTTAAACTTTCCACGTATTTGCCAGTGAAGAGTCATACAGAGAAATGGAAATAGAAGAAAAAATAGAAATGATGTATTCCATAGAGATTTGTTCAGTTATTTTCAGATTATTCTAAGCTAAAAATATGATAAAGGAAAAATGTCATTTTATTTCCTTATATTGCATAATTTCTTTGAGAATTCCTCGAGGTAATCTCAAAAATGTGTTTATTTATAGGATTGTTGATGTGAATAAGTTGAGAGTTGACCTAGAAAGGCTTGTTTTTTTGTTTTGTTTTGTTTGTTTCATATTAATATTTTATTAAATATTTAAGACATAGTAATTTATGTATTATGTTCTGACTTAGAAAAAAGAGAACAAGGTACATAAATATTAAGTTAGAAAACAATTTAATTTTAGAAAAAGAGATTTGTTTCTAAGTCGATGACAGTGACTCTTTAAAAAGTATCTCTCAAGACAGACTTCTGATAAGATGGAGGAATAGGCAGACAAGCTACACAGACCCTCTTCAACAAAGAAAAGAGAGCAATTGACAGAGATGTAGGAGATAATCATGGAGCCCTGAGCTTTGAAAGGAAGTATACAGAAGTGGATTCAGCACAAACTAGTGGAAAAACCTGAACAAAATTATTGAGTACAGAGACAGAGCAGTGAACTGTCAGCTGCTCTGATGGGACCAACAGCCTGAATATTTTCAAGTGGTGTTGGGACTTGAGAATTGACCTAAAGATCAGCCCTGGTCGCCAAGGGCTGCAGGGACAACTGTGCTGGTGGCCTATGTCTAGGAAGGGAAACAGCAAGGAGGGAGACAACCTGAGCTGTGGACTTCTGCTGTCTGGAGGGTGTAGCCATTTTAATTGTTTACCAGTGGTGGCCATTTTGTTTATTTAAAGTGACAGCATTCTCATTCAGATTCCAGCGACCTAAGAATAGACTCTGTCTGCCAAGGACAGCAGGGACATATGAGAGGCTGACAATGGGAAAGGAGACAGGTAATGAGTGTGTGACTGCTGCTAAGTAGTGAATAGAGAAGCATATAGCACAGTACTCTGCTTATGCAGATAACATACAAAGAAAACAAAAATCGTGGGGAAGTCAATCCAACATACAATCACCAATTAAATATAAATACAAAAACGTCACAATGCCTCAGAGACAACAGAGCATCACACTCCACACAAAGAAGCAAGATAAAGCAGGAGAAACAAGGGACCAGGATACAGATCCAAAGCACATCCCTGAGGAAGACACAGCATCAGAACTCCCTGATAAGGAATTCAAAAGAATTACATTTCGGTATCTTCAACAAATTGAGAGACAGATCAAGGAAACACTGACAAAATTGAGGAAAACACAGACAAAACCCTAGAACAATTTAAAAAGACAATACAAGAACAAAATAAATGAAAAATTAGAACTGATACGAAATCTACAGACAGAAAACCAGAAGATTAATACTAAATTTTCAGAAATCGATAACACATTGAATGGGCAAAGGAGTAGAATTGAATCAATGGAAGACAGAGTTAGTGGGATTAAAGGCAAATACCTCAATACTTCTTTGGAAAGGGATCAATTAGATAAAAAGATCAAAACAAAATGAAGAAAGCCTAAGGTTCATGTGGGATACCATCAAAAGGAGTAACCTATGTGTCATTGCTATTCCAGAAGAGGAAGACACAAATAAAACCACAGAAAAATGGTCGAAGATTTGTTGGAAGAGAATTTCCCTGATATGATGAAAGATGAGAATATATCCATTCAGGAAGTCCAACGAACCCAAAACAGGATAGACCCCAAAAGAAAATCACCAAGACATAGCATCATCAAACTCGCCAAAACCAAAGACAAAGAAAGAATCATGAAAGCAGCACGGAAAAACGAAAAGTTACCTACAAGGGGCAACCAATAAGACTAAGCTTAGATTTCTCAGCAGAAACCATGTAAGCAAGAACACAATGGGATGGTATATACAAAGCCCTGAAAGAGGAAAATTTCCAACCAAGAATTACATACCCAGCAAAATTGTCCCTCAAATATGATGGTGAAATTAGGAGATTTCCAGATAAGCAGAAATTAAAGAAATTTGTTAAAACCACACCAACCTTTCAAGAGATGCTAAAGGGAGTCCTTTGGACAGAGAAGCAACAATAGCAAACAACAACTGGCCATTAACACACATGATGATATAACCCAGAAACCAATCCAGCTATGGAAGTATCCAGAGTAAATAAGTCTACAAGGTTGTAAACAGGGAACCAGAGGCGTCAATTGACAAATAAAAACAACTATAAACCAAAAAGAGGGGAAAATTGTGTAGTTACAGAACTTCTAAATGGTAGGGAAGTCAAGACAACTACAAGATGGAACGGACTATTCTAAACTTGGGAAGAAAATGATAAAGCACAGGGTAACCTCAGAGAAAAGTGATAAACCTTCCCATCAAAATAAAAAAGGACCAGCACAAATATTCAGAAAATGCTAAAACAATAGCAACGAAGGAAGTGATAACATGATTCATAAATAAAATGAGCTCAGCACAAAAAATTATAGAACAAAGAAATCAGTACCACACAAAAGCACATAACAAAATGACAGCAACAAATTCATTCTTGTCAATAATTACATATCTGGCAAGGGACTTATCTCAGATTTATAGAAAACGCCAATGCTTCAACAACAAAGGGATTAACAATTCAGTTGAAAAATGGGCAGAAGACATGAATAGACACTTCACCAAGGAGGATATTCAGCTGGCCAGCAAATACATGAAGAAATGCTCACAATCACTGGCCATCAGAGAGATGCAAATCAAAACAACAATGAGATACCATCTCACTCCAGCACTGATGGCAAGGTTCAATGAGACAGAAAATAGCAAATGCTGGGGTGGCTGTGGAAAGATTGGAACTCATATACTGCTGGTGGGACTGTGAAGTAATACAACCACTGTGAAAAACAGTATGACAATTCCTTAAAAAGCTGGAATTGAAGATACCATTTGACCCAAAAATCCCATTAATAGGTATATATCCTAGAGAGTGAGAGCCGGGACAGGAACAGATATATGCACACCCATGTTCATCACAGCACTATTTACAATAGTAAAAAGATGGAAACAACCTACATGCCCATCAGTGGAAGAGTGGTTGACCAAACTATGATAAATACACACAATGAAAAGCTATGCAGCACTAAAGAATAAGGTAGAGTCTACGAAACACCACATAACATGGATGAACTTGGAGGACATTATGCTGAGTGAAATAAGTCAAGCACAGAAGGACAAATAAAGAATTAGTTTGTCATTGTGGAGAGTCACGGAAAGTTTTATATATGGAGGGAAACTTTCTTTGTTGCTTGCCAGGGGTAGGATGGGAGGAGGGACCACTGCAAAAAAAAATGCACTGATCCATGTCACTTTAGTTCTGTGTATTTCACTGTACATAAATTATATTCCAATAAAATGCATTTTTTTAAAAAAAGTATCTATCAAAAGTCATACATCAAAATATGTTCTACAAAGATATTACTTCATGAAGCTTTGTGGTTTTCCAGTGGTGCTACTGAACCATTCCCAAAGCATTTTTATATTTCTTTTAAATTGCTTTCTAAAACTTTATATTTTTTAGTAAACTTTCCATAGTACTAAGTCTTTTCCTTTGAGGTTACATTTAATATTTTTAAACCACCAAAACTTAATTGTACAACAGTATACTAAATATAATAGATATCCAGGTCTGATAATGCAGGATACCTTTGACATTCTTGAGGAATTTATTGGAGTAACAAGTTTAATATTAATAACTTCATTATCTATAAATTCCAAATGTGTTTTGTTTTTTTGGGGGGGAGACTATTTTACATAGTGAAACTAAACTTAGAAAACTTTACACAAGAATCAGTATTTATTTAGTGGCAATAACAATAAAGGCAGATTGCTTTGGTTATATTGAGTCATGATACTTTGCTGATACTGGGTAGTCACAACCTTAAAAACCAGAGACCTTCTATTATATGGTCAAAGTTGTGGCTGATTATGAAATACAAAACTCTTTTTCTAGTGTGACTTCTAAGGTGACACTAAAAGTATTTTCCAAAGAAGTGTTCCAAGAATATTTTGAGTCATTGTGGCACTGTGGGACTGAGTATATAGTTTCTCAGATTATCATACTTTGGATAGTATGGCATTAAAAAAATTACTTGAGTATTTTTTATTGTCATTCTTCATAATATTAATGTGTGAGACCTTGTCTTGGATAGAAATGGAAAAATTACAACTTGAGTGATCCAAATTCCAAGATTTTGCATTCATTATAATCAACCAAGCCAGAATAGGTCTGTGTTTTCATCGTTTTTCTTGACAGGTCATATGGCTCTAACCATGTGTTCAGACTTTACAAAATAGGATGAGTCTGTAGAATCCCAAAGCAGTGCTGGACTTTAATCATAATTCCACTATATTCTGAAATGCAATCAAAAGTATTAAAGTATTTCAAAAATTATCATGTGTAGTGCCTAGGGCTTGACTGCTTACCAGAAGGCTGGCAGTTCAACCCCACCAGCCACTCCTTGGAAGGAAGTTTGAGCAATCTGCTTCCATAGTGATACTGCCTCAGAAACCCAAGGAGGGGTCGCTATGATGGATGGCACAGAACAACAACAACAACAACATATATATAATAGTAATTAGAACTTAGGACATTCTTGAAAATAATTTTACTTTAAAATCATAAAAGTTCTTAAAGTATACTTCCTAGAAGTGTAATACTGCATTGTCATGGCTAACCATTACATTTAAGTTTTCATTTCTAGACCAGCATAGTGCTTTATTTCTCCCTGTCTTCTAGATCCTATAGATGCTCTAGCAGTTATTCTACTTCAAAGAGACTGCCAGTCCATTAACCCTGTCACTGCCTTCTCCTCTCAGTGTCTCACTTCTTTTCCTGGCTGAATTTTCATGGTCCAGAATTTCAGTCATTCCCTTGTTAACATTCTTGACTCATTTGCCTCTTATTCCCTCAGTTTGTATTCTCTGGGCAAAATCAACACTGGATAAAATCCTCCTATCCATCTACTTCATGCCATGCCTGAGTGGCTGAACCCGCCTGAGAAACACAATTTAGTTGACTTGCTCTGCTTGCCCACTTTTAATTCAGTACTACAAATCTCAGATAGGCACCTAACATGCCTTGTAGTCTTACTTTACTTCCTTGGTATACTTACTGTCTGTCTGCTCATTTTACACCTTGTATTTCCTCATATTCTTACTGTCTTTTTTACTCATTTTCAACTTGCTTTCTATATCAGTGTAAAAGCATAGTTGGAAACTCTGTTATTTTCCCATTCAAATCTACCAGTCTACCATATCTCTACTCTTTTCTGCCATTCAGTGAATGAAGTGTCCTGAGTTGTATCAAATGACCATCTCTGGACTATATTCAAAAGCTTATCATCTCTTCATTATTATATATATTATGCACAACATGTAATATACTATTTGTTGTTAAACAGCTCCCACTTTGCTCCACCTCCATGCTTGTTTAAGAAATAAGGTATAATGGAAATACTACTTTGGTATCAGAAGATTTGGATTTTAGTGTCTTCCTCTGCCACTAACTTCTCTATAACTTGGGGCAGGTTTTCCGACCAATCTAGACTTCATTTATAAGGGGAGAGCTAGAATGCTTTTTAAGATTTTAACATGCTGTGATAATGAATTCACTTAAAGGGCTTAGAGTTACGTGTGTGTGTGTGTGTAAATTTTTTAGCTTTAAAATTGTTTTTTAAGAACTAAGCTTAACTCATCTTGTACTAACTGTATAGTCAACATGTAGTTTGTTGATTTAATCTTACAAGTATGAAAGTAGTGACTTTTCTGTAATGTTAGATTATTACAAACATATGTAACTACATTCAAGTAGAGTCCCGAATGTGTATACAGTATTTTAGTCATTTAGAATAGAGGTAATAAGCTCATGCAATTACTGAATTACTTATTTTTTAAAAGAGTTACATTTTAATTTAAATATTATTTTTAGTTTATATTACTATTTTGATCTTCCTTTTAGAATTATAGCCAAATTGGGCAGTCCATGTTATTCCAGCAAAACCAGTCTAAATTGGCAGTATGTGTTAAGGAAAACTGGAGAAGTTCATTTTAACTGTGTTCATTTATTCTGTTTTCAAAGGCATGACATTCCCTCATGAGTCATACTGTGTGATATATGAAAAATTAGCTGGCTATACATTGAAAAAGCTATTTCAGTATACTTTATTGATATTCACAATCTTTTAAATAAATATAATTAGTGAAATATAAATCAATCTTAAAACATAAAAGTAATCAGTTTATTTTACTTGTATGCATTTAAACTCTTACCTAGCATTTTAGATACCCAAATATTATGTATGACAAAATCCTTCCCTTTACTGAGTGGTATATAATTTGTTTAAACGATAGTGTGAGTTGAGATTTAAAGTTTATTTCAAATAAGAGCATTTGAAATTATTTTCTTCCATTGGAAACTTTTTTAAATGGAGGATATCAAGAGTTGGTAAGAACTAAAAGGGATTCTCACTAAATATATAGTACATTGGTTAAAGAACTTTGTATCTAATAATTTAGTTGTTGTTGTTGTTGTCATGTGCCGTCGAGTCGGACCCAACTCATAGCAACCCCTCCTTGGGTTTCCGAGGCAGTATCACTACGGAAGTAGATTGCCCCGTCTTCCTTCTGACGAGTGGCTAGTGGGTTTGAACTGCCAGCCTTCTGGTTAGCAATCAAGTGCCTTAGGCACTATGCTACCAGAGCTCCTAATAATTTAGTAGGACAGTGTATTAAAAGGTATCTTGATAGTATATGGGCACAAAGTACTTCTTATAGTTAGTGGATTGGTCAGTTTAGTATATGGTTTCTTTATATAAATAGGGATTAAGAGCTATAGTTGAATTCAAAATATTTAGAAGTTAGTATTGAGAATTTATTTTAAATATTATATAGGTAAATATATATATTTAAAAATACAGTAATAGGCAAAATAATGGAAAAACTAATGCACTTTATTTTTGTTTTAGCTCCTGGAGCCTGTCTGCCATCAGCTCTTTGAGCTCTATCGTAGCTCTGAAGTTCGACTTAAAAGGTTCACACTGCAGTTTTTGCCAGAATTGATATGGGTTTATTTACGGCTTACAGTTAGCCGAGACAGACAGAGTAATGGTTGTATTGAAGCACTTCTGTTAGGAATTTACAATTTGGTAAGTTGAAAATGATAGGAAATTTTAAATGTTTTATAAAGTAGGTGGAATTATTATAATTGATAGTATTGTTAATATTTTATGACTTCATATTGTTTCAGTTGACCAATATTTATTAATGCCTTCTGTGTATGGCATTAATGAGTTGGGCATCATTAAATACAAAAAATTAGATGTGATACCTACTTTTAGGAAGCTTCTGCTCTATTAGGGAAGATGTGTTTATAGATGACTATAATACACCTGCTTCTCACTTAAAACTGACATGGTTAGGTTCCAAAGACCAGGTCATTTTATACAAAAATTGACCTTATGAGAAAATGGCGGGTGATGACATCAGATCACAAAATGAAGGACAGCTACATCGTTACATAACTGACAGTTACATCCTTACGTAACTGCTAAGTTACACCATTACATAACTGCCAAACCCCTGATAATCATGGTCCAGACAAGTTGACACATAACCTTGACCATCATAGCCAGCATTACTCTCACCTCATACCTCAGTGTTTGTTACTGACAGATATACACCATTAATGTGCAAAATAGTTGGATAGTAGATTTTTTTAGTATTGTTATAAATGGAAAATCTCAGATAACAAGATAGCCAATAAGTAAGGAGTAGGTGTAATGCGAAGTTTTTATGATAATAGGATTTCAAAGAAAAACTCAGAAAAGTTATTATGACAAGCTTTATTGAAGAAATGGCATCTCATCTGGACCCTAATGAAAGGTGTAATTTTGACAGATTGAGTTTAGGAATAAGTGAGATTTTAGAAATAATCACATGACCAGACTTACTGGTTTGATAGAGATTGATGGAACCCCTAGACTGTGGCCATTAGACACCCTTCAGGTATGGGACCGAACTTACTCCTGTGGCTCAAGTTTCATTCAAACAGTAGACAGACCTGTCAGGTGAACAGTCATACCAGGGAGGTACTCCTTAAAACAACCAACCGTTGGAATCCCCTGGCTGCCTTTCAAGTCTGGAACTGAACCTACTCCTGTGGCTTCCAGCCAAACAAAAGACAGGCATAATACACTCCTTGGAGAGATCAGCCATGGGAAATAGGAGGGCTGTGTATGTACAGGGAGACAGCTCCGGTTGCAGGAGTGCGTGGGAGGAGAGGACACAGGAAAGAGGTAGCTATGGGGTGGAAGTGGAAGGGGAGCTATTGCATTGTGGTAAATTGTAGTCAATGTCATGAGACAAAGCGTATGTGAGCTACTATATGGAAGATGAGTTTGCTCTATAAACTTTCACCCAAATCACAATTAAAAAAAATATATACAAGATCAAAAGGGCAGCATTTGCCCAGGGATAAAGGTCAGAAGGCAGGAAGGGATAGGGAGAAAGTGGGAAGATTGCGGTTACATTGTGGGGATTGCCCTCAGTGTCATGAATCAAAATGTATGTTTTGATACAATGTTATGAATTGTTGAATGGAAAATCAATTTGCCATGTAAACATTCACCCAAATCACAATAACAAGGAAAAAAGAATCATTATAATAAATAAATAATCACATGAGCATAAGCACAGATGTAAGAAAATTTAATTATTTCCTGGAAATAGAAAGCATTTTAAAGCACACAATATATACGCAAGCTGGGAAAGATAGTTTAACATCAGTTTTAGAGGATCTGCAGCTCAAAAGTAGGAGCCCTGGTGGTGTAATGGGAGAAAGAGCAGATTACAGCCTTGGAAACCCTGTGGGGCAGTTCTACTCTGTTCTGTAGGGTCACCGTGAGTTGGAATCAACTCGACATGGCAATGGATATACTCTAAAGAGTTTAAGTTTTCTTACTCGGCATTGGGAAAACAGAGGTTTTTGAACAGAATAATGGCATTATTTATTAGGCGATTAATTTGGTGGTATGCAGAGATACTTGGAATTATAAACTGAATTTAATCACCGGTCTTAGTATTTTGAAGGCTACATACATAACTAGGTATAGTGGGAGGAGTGGACATGTGATTTCTGTTTCTTAAGGGAGACAGGTAAGGGGAAAAAAGTGCAATATACCACTATAGCCTGTTAGGATCTTTCATCTGAGTAAGAACACAGTGGAGATTAGAGAGAGAAAAGAAGGCACTTAACATTTCCTAGATTCTAGAGGCCTCACATGGAAGGAACTTGAAGACTGAAACCTGATTACTTCTGCACGATGGGTGGGGCATACTACAAAGAGAAGACCTTAAAGGTTTTGAGGACTGAAGGAAGCAAAGTGAGAAAGGTGGAGAGAGTTAGGAAACTACATGAAAGCCTTCTGAAGACAGGAACAGCAATACTCCTTTTCTTGGGTAATGCAGAGGAACAAAATAGCACATCAAACGCTGCCACCCCCACCCTGCCATATGTCTCTAAAATATTGAACAATTACCTCAGTGCATCAGTAAAGAACCATGAATCTAATGAATGTATCTTATAGTCACTGAGTGGGGAAAAGAATGAGAAATGACTGACATAAAACTTTTGCTTTTGTTTAGCTTTAAGATGTGGAACTTATAAAATATTCCAATTCATAGTGTAATTTGATCATAAAGTTTTATATAATTGTTTGTAAATTTATTTGTATTTGATAATACATTATTTTTTTTTTGTAATTTTTTCCTTAGAAGAAACTCTTTAAGTGCTTTAAAATTGTTTTTTTGCTCATGATGCCTAGTTTGGGACATTGGTATTAAAATTTGTGCCCTTGGAAGTCTTATATTCCTCTGTGCATTCAGAACACATTGTAAACACTCCATATAACAAATTTAACTGTATAGTAGAGAGCTAATAAAGTACAGGAAGGTTGAGTCTCACAATAAATATGTATTCTGCTCAGTGCTCACTCGTATTATCACTTGAATACTCATTAGCAAACATTTCTATCAGTAGAACATATGTCTGAAGAAAGGATCAGGGACTTTGGAATCACTCATACTCAGTTCAAAACTGGGCCCTGACACTGACTTTTAAATATGGGCAAGTTACTTAATACCTTGACTTCAGTTGTCTCATTTGTAAAACAGAAATAAAAGGTTGTGAGTAAGGATTACATTTTGAAGATCCTGGCACATTGCTTGAGGTGTTTAATAAATGTTTATTATTAATATTCTCATACTAAATACTAAATATGGGTTTATTTTTTTTAAAAAAAAAAGGAAGAGCTGGTTTAGGTATGAAATTTCTTTTTTGCTAACTCGCTTGTTTTTTCTTTTAAACCAGGAAATTTGTTTTATATATTACTAAGTCTCCCATAGTACCTAGCACAAAAAAAAAAACCAAACTCACTGCCATTGAGTTGAATCCAATTCATAGTGACCTCTCCTTGGGTTTCCAAGGTGGCATCACTACAGAAGCAGATTACCCAACCTTCCTTCCGAGGAGTGGCTGGTGGGTTTGAACTGCCAGCCTCTGGTTAGCAGTCAAATGCCTTAGGCACTATGCCACAAGAGTTCCTAGTACCTAGCACAAGTACTTAATAAATGTTTAATAATTGAGTTTAGTGTTTTAGATTATGTTTAATGTTACCATTTTTATTCATTTGTTGAGTTGAGTCAGTGTGTGATTAATTTATTTAGTGTAAAATTCAGTAATAGTATAAATGAAGCAAAACTATTTTGCAGACTAATGTTTGACAAGTTATTGACATTATTTGCTGGTTTTATGTTTTATTATATTTTGACATCTCAAAAATAGTATATCATAGTGACATCTCAAAAATATATAGTTGTATGTTAGAAACACATCTCAGGCTTCTGAACCCCTTCTAATTCCCTTGATATTTGTGTTCACTGTTCTCCGAGGTTCTCAGCTTTTCTTACCTCGTTGGGTATTTTTTATATACTCACTTCTTCTTTACCTCAAATACCCCCAGGGAAGTTTTATACTGACCTCAGCCTTAACGAATTTCAGAGTAGTCTTCTCTAGAAAAAATGCAAAAAGATAAACCAAAGCTGCATATGGCTTAATTAGAAATTAAAATGTCATTGCCTAACTTAGGTACATTTATACTTTATCTGAGACACAAAGGCCCAAATGTGGTAGTAACTGGAATTTGACTACAAAGAGATTACAGGATCTCCCTGTAGGTAATTTTTAAAGCTGTTTTCCTACCAAAATTAGAGGTAAGGCTTTTGCTCACAAATAATTGATATTCTCCTGTGATATATTAAATTCATAAATGAGCTTTATAAGGAAGACCTTAGGTTTGGGTTTTGGTGATGATAGTTGTTGTGTAGCTAGCCACTCCATCTGTCCTGACTACCTACCATCTAAGTTTGGTAAGGGCATTCATCTCTGTGGATTCTATGCCATGATGTACACTGGCATGACTTGTAAAAGAAACATAGACTAAAACAGGGCGCCGGACAAAGGGAGTGGTGATGCAGCAGCATTTCAGCACTCTGATTGCTGGGCCCGTAGGTAATTACTTATTGCTGCCTGAGGGGGGTCGGAAATGCCAAAGAATGTAGAGGGAAAGAGCTTTAAAATTCACAAGAATTTTCGTGCAGCTCACTAAAAATTACCTAAATACTTATTTTTAATCACTTGGACTAATATTAATTATGTAAATATGTAGCTTAGTTTATTCATTTATTAATGAAGTGAGTCGGGTTTGACTCGATGGCACATAACAACAACAACAACAACATGGTAAGAATGTCTTTTAGTCAAGATTCATTCTGTTTGTACAATGTGCTTTTCTTATTTTAATAAGCGTGGATCTCTTGGTTAAGACCTTTGTTTAGCTCAGCCATATTTCTTACAAGAACCTCTAATCACTTGTAATCTGACTTTCCTGTTACATAAATTTAACATGAAAATTGATCTCTGTGCCTTCTTCATGTCCTTGCTGCCATGTTGCATTTGATTTAGTGTAGTAGCATTCCACTTATTATCTCTCTATGAATTATAACTCTGCTAGTCAATTGTACAAATTTGTTAAGTTATAAAAGATAACTGTAGGGTAGTAGTATTTTTATACAATGAAAACTGTGAGAGCCAAAACTGGATGAGATTACCTCATTTTTCCAGATCTTGAAAGTTTTCTGTCTTTAACAGGCTGTAATATGACCACTTTTATATCGCTATATTGTTCTCTGTTAGTGGAAAATATTTGCATTTTCCTTCTCTGACAGGTTTCTGCCTTACACTAACTAGTTCCAGCTTTTGCGGGTTTTAATGAATATCACTATATCTTATTACAAAACTTCCTCAATTGTTAGTGATATATTCTGTACATGCAAAAAGTACTTATTAAATACAGGCCTATGATTGTCTCATTATCTTTATATGTATTTCTAAACTGCAGGAAATTGCTGATAAAGATGGAAACAATAAAGTTCTATCTTTCACTATCCCTTCCTTATCTAAGCCTTCAATATACCATGAGGTAAGTAAGAGTGCAAAGATTGAATAAATGAAAATTATATTATGATGAAAGTCATTTTCTGACCAGAGATTAATATTTCTAATACATCTTTACTTTGTTAAAAGCAGATGCTTGTTACTAGTGGTAGAAAGCTGAAGTATATCAATAGAGGCAGAATGTATTTAATGGAAAAATTTTCCATCTGGTTCTTGTTTCTTTGCTTATTTTTCCACCTATGTCATTTTTTGTCTTTATTAATCTTTTGTGGGTTTTTGAAAAATATTTTTTTTTATTTTAAAGTCTGACATGTGGCTTTCTTGCTGTTGTGTGCCGTTGATTCTGACTCTCAGTAACCTTATATGACAAGGTAGAACTGGCTCATAGGGCTTCCAAGGCTATAATATTTTTGGGAACAGATTGATAGGTCTTTTCTCCTGTGGAGTGGCTGGTGAATTTGAACTGCATACCTTTTGGTTAGTAGCCAAGTGCTTAACCACTACTCCACCAGAGTCCCTTACATGTTGCTTAGAAATCACCTATGTTAGATTGATTTGTTATTATTCTTTAGGAAAATGACTACTTCGAAGAATTGTAACATTGTAATTGTTTTATTTCAGTTTAAAAAATCTACTTGGTAGCATTATACTTTTGATTTTTGCTTATATTTTATTTGGTTGAAGAATGTGAGAACACTAATAATCATAAAGGTAAATGACTCATGTTAAATTGAACTCCTTATACTTGTTCTCATGAAGGTAATATATCCAGTAAGGAAATATATTATGAATTAAGCTTCTGGTCTCTAAAGGCTTTTAGTGCATAAAGTTGTAAGGGAAACACGTAAAGAACCTTTATCAGTTATCTAAAAATTATATTCCATGTTCCTAACTTGTATCGTCTTGCTTGTGTTAAAGCTCTGTGCAACTGTTTATTTCCTTAAATAATTTCCCCTAAAATTTTGTTTTGTGTTGGGAATAGAATGCCTCATATTTGCCAGAACTCATTTTAGCATAAAATATTTCTGGGTTATAAATTTTAATTAAGTTCTCTTTATCACATTTTGAAAAATAGAAGGTAGTGAAGCATGAACAAATGGATGCTTCTTTTGACTTCACAAACATGGAATCAGTTATGTCACTGTTCGAGAGACGTTTGATCATACTCTAGATAATAGCAGTTTTACTCTGCTCTGAAATACCAGCAAATTAAAATTGATATATTTTTGACCTTTAACTTTTCAGCAACTTTTCTATTCTCTTTTCTAAATATAGATTCATTCTATAATCTTTCAAAAAATAAAGCAATATATTTCTAGTTTTATATAATTTGTGCTTATAATTTCCAAAAGGAGTTAAGAACTTATATAATTGAGAGACTGAAGATGCTTTGAAAGAGAATACATGGTCTGAAACTCCTTTTGTTAGTACGTAGAGTTTTGTGCAAAATTAAATACTGTTAAATAATACAGAGCTATATTTCATTTTAGAGATAGTGTCTCATACTTTGCCTTATTTTTGTAGCCCTCAACAATTGGATCCATGGCTTTGACTGAAGGGGCATTGTGTCAACATGATCTCATCAGAGTTGTTTATAGTGATCTTCATCCTCAGAGGGAAACATTCACTGCACAAAACCGGTAATGGCCAGAACTGTAGATAGTTTAAATAACAATTGTTATTTAATTTAAACTGTAGGCAGTTTAAACGAACAATTGTTAATTTATGCTTAAGAGTTAATTACTTAAGTTGAAGTTTGGTATGAGAGGAAGCAAGAAAGCAAAGAATACCAGAAAGATGTTTACTTGTGTTTTATTGACTATGCAAAAGCATTTGATTGTGTGGATCATAACAAATTATGCACAACATTGACAAGAGTGGGAATTCCAGAGCACTTAATTGTGCTCATGAGGAACCTGTACATAGACCAGGAGGCTATCATTCGAAAAGAACAAGGGGATACTGCATGGTTTAAAATCAGGAAGGGAGTGTGTCAGAGTTGTATCCTTTTACTATACTTATTCGATCTGTATGCTGAGCAAATAATCCGAGAAGCTGGACTGTATGAAGAAGAGTGTGGCATCATGATCAGAGGAAGACTCATTAACACCCTGCGATACACAGACGACGCAATCTTGCTTGCCAAAAGTGAACATGACTTGAAGCACTTACTGATAAAGATTATAGACTACAGTTTGCAGTATGGATTATACTGCAACATAAAGAAAACGAAAATCCTCACAACCGGACCAATAAGCAGTATCATGATAAATGGAGAAAAGATTGAAGTTGTCAAAGATTTCATATTACTCGGATCCACAGTTAACACCCATGGAAGCAGCAGTCAGGAAATCAGGCAACATATTACATTGGGCAGATCTGCTGCAAAAGACCTCTTCAAAGTGCTGAAGAACAAAGATGTCTCTTTGAAGACTAAGGTGCACCTAACTCAAGCGATGGTATTTTCAGTCACCTCATATGGATGTGAAAGCTGGACAATGAGTAAGGAAGACCGAAAAAGAGTTGATGCTTTTGAGTTACAGTGTTCAAAAAGAATACTGAAAGCACCATGGACTGCCAGAAGAATGAACAGATCTGTCCTAGATGAAGTATAGCTGGAATGTTCCTTGGAAGTGACAATGGCCAGACTTCTCACCTACTTTGGTGATGTTGTCAGAAGGAACCATTCCCTGGAGAAGGATATCCTGCTTGGTAAAGTAGAGGGTCAACAAAAAAGGGGAAGGCCCTCAATGAGATGGAGTGGCGCAGTGGCTGCAGTGATGGGTTCAGGTATAGCAAGGATTGTAATGCTGGCACAGGACCAGGCAGTGTTTCGTTCTGTTTTACAGACTCACTATGAGTTGGAGCCAACTTGATGGCACCTAACAACAACAGCAACAGCAACAGTGAAATGTATTACTGAAAGACCTGTCTGTATAATGCTTGGTATGGTGTAATTGTCATTTTGTATCAAGCAATATAAAAACTAGAAGTGCCAGCTTAGAGTCAGTCAACCAGAGTTTGTGTTCTAGCACTGCAGTTTAGAAGCTTGCCTTCTCAGGTGCCTTGTGTTCTCTGTGAAATGGAATTAATGGTAAGATCTATGCTACATGATTGTGGTAAGGATAAATGTAATGTGCTTAGTTAGCATAATGCCTGGCTAAGACATAATAAATGTTAGCTGAGGCTATTATTCTTTATATGCTATTTTATATTTGTTGTAAAATAGTATTATTTAGAATATTATATCATGGAAGGAAGATAGGATCAAGCAAATTTCCATAGACATTGGCCTTTGATCTGAAATTCCATTTCTTTGTAGTTTCTTCCCAATATTACACATGTGATGGAAAAGTCAATGATTCCCCTTGTATCTTGACACATTGTTTTGAAATTCCAACTTTAGTAATTGTACTTTGTTAGCCAGCACAGTGCTATATAAGAATTGGAGAGAGATGGCTTTATCCCAACCTGGAGCTTCTTTTTTTTCTATACAGTTTTATTGGTTTACTCGATTCATTCTGCAACGTAAAATTTATATTGGGATAAAGATTGCATAAGTATATTATGTGGGAGCTCTGGTAGCATAGTGACTAAGGCACTTGACTGCTAACCAGAAGGCTGGCAGTTCAAACCCACCAGCCTCTCCTCAGAAGGAAGATGGGGCAATCTACTTCCATTGTGATACTGCCTTGGAAACCCAAGGAGGGATTGCTATGAGTCAGTTCCGACTCAACGACACATAACAACAACAACAACAAGTACATTATGTAGACTGGCTTGCATAAAAATCATCTAGTTGCCTGGTTTCTTTTTGTTTTCTAACATAAATTCTTTTAAAGTATAAATCATATACTTGTAAATTTAAAGTACAACAGGATATAAAGTGAAAATATATAAGGTTATAAAGGAAGTAAATATATCTTGTTCCCTCTTATCATGCTTTGCCACTCCGCAAGTTTAAACTGGTAGCAGTTTTTTATGTATATTTCTAAAAAGTTTTAATGTATGAAAAAGGTTGATATATTCCATCTTGAAAACATGAGATTCAGCATACATATTGTTCTGCCACGTGCTTTTTTCATTTAAGAGTGAAGCTTAGTCATCTTGTCTAACAAGCACATAGAAATCTCATTCTTTTTAATGACTAGTTAGTATTCTGCTATATAATGGAATACTGGTTCCATATTGAATAAAATTCGGATTGTTTTCATTTTTTTGGTATTATAACAATATTGCAAAGGACACATTTTTTATGTATATATTTGCATAAGAACACAAATATATCTGTAGGATAAATTCTTCTAGTAGTGTGGTTGCTATGCTGAAGAATGCTGTATTTTCAATTTCAGTAGATACTGCCAAACTATCTCCTCTAAAATGACACCAGTTCAACTTCCTACAGTAGTTTGAGAGTATCTGTTTCCTCATATTAACGCAAAATGCTTTCAAATTTTTTATCTTTGCCAGTCTGATAGTTTAAAAAAAAAAATGATGTCACATTATTTTACTTTACATTTTTTCAATTGGGAGCTCTAGTGGCATAGTGCCTAAGGCATTTGACTGCTAACCAGCAGGCTGGCAGTTCAAACCCACCAGCCACTGCTCGGAAGGAAGGTTCGGCAATCTACTTCTATAGTGATACCGCCTTGGAAACCCACGGAGGGATTGCTATGAGTCAGATCCGACTCGACAGCAGTTAGTTTGGTTTTTGGGTTTTCTTTTTTCATTATAACTGAGCTTGGGTTCTTTTATATTCTTAAACTTTGATTTGGATGATAATTGAGCAAATTCGTTTTCCATTCAATAATTCATACACATTTTGTTTCATGACATCGATTGATTGCTATCTCCACAATATAATAGCACTCTTCCTACTTCTTCCCTGGATATAACATACCCAGTTTTACATTCTGTTTTTTCATTTCACTTTAAGTTATATCACAAGCATTTTCCCCCCTAATTGTATATTGTTAACATTACATGCTGTCAGTTGGTTTCTACTCATAGTAACCCTACGTACAACAGAACAAGACAGTCTCATCTTGGGCCTTGTAATCATTGCCGTGCTTGTGCCCATTGTTACAGCCAATCCACCTCTTTGACAGCCTTCCCCTTTTGTGTTGACTTTCCACCTAGCATGATATTCTTTTCCAGGGACTGTCCCTTCTGACATGACCAAAATGTGAGAGATGAAGTCTGGCTATTCTTGCTTTTAAAGAACATTTCGGCTATACTTCCTCCAAAACAGATTTGTTTATTCTTTTAGCAGTCCGTGGTGCATTCAGTATTCTAATCCAGCACCACAATCCAAATGCATCAATTCTTCTGTAGTCTTCCTTATTCATTGTCCAGCTCTCACGTGGATATGAGATTATTGAAAATACCATGGCTTGGGGCAGATGCATCTTAATCCTCAACAGCAGCAGCAAGGGAGATAACCTGTAAGAAGAATGTGGAAACAGGGTAATCATTGAGGAGCATGTTACAATGATCTGATTGAGAAAACATGAAAGTCAGCACTAAGGCATGCATTGTTGTTAGAACAGTTCAATCATAAATTATTTACAACAATCTCTGGTAGAAAAAATTATTTGTAATCCTTTCCCTTATGTTTGCTTTTTTCTAGGTTTGAAGTCCTGAGTTTTCTCATGTTGTGCTATAACTCTGCTATCGTGTATATGCCTGCCTCATCTTACCAAGCTCTTTGTCGGATGGGCTCCCGGTAAGAAGAGCAATTATCATTAATCTTCATAGTCATTTATTTAACAAGTATTTATCCAACACATTCTCTATGCCAGGGTCTGTTCTCACTTTTGATGATATAGCAGTAGATTTCTAGAAAAATTTTTCAGCATTAGCAAAGTATTTTCTAGCTGATCATTGAGTTAAACCAAGACATCCAAGTTTAGCATTGTTTATAATGTACTGAAGACACCCCAGTAGTGTAGTAGTTAAGTGCATAGTTGCTCACTAAGTGGTCGGCAGTTCAAGTCCAGTGACTACATGGGAGGTATATTTGACAGTCTCATTCTATAAAGATTTATTGCCTTGGAAACTCTATGGGACAGGTCTGCTCCTTTTGTCACTATTTGTCACTGTTTGTCGGAATTGACTAAACAACAATGGGTTTTGGTGTACCTAAACATTCCCTGGATAACGGTGTCTATAAATCACTTTGAGAATTTTGAATAAAGCATCCTGTATATAGGGAAGTCTTAACAAATGTTAACCTTTTCTTAAAGTTTCTTTATACATTTCACAAATTATTGTCTTTGTGTTAGATAAGAATATTTGCAGTGGCACTGATCATCCATGTATTCCATTTGGGTATGTAAGTTGTTTAGATTATAATCTTTACTAAGTCAGATCAGATTTCTAATAATTTGGACAAACCTGGGCTGAAATTTAAATGTCCATTATAGAAAAAGTAATTAAAGTAATATAAATTAGTTTTGCGACAAGAAATGTTAAGTCAAAAAATTTCAGCAAGTGTAGTGGCTTAAAACGGTACAGTTTCTGTGGGCCAGGAGCCTGGGCATGGCTTAGCTGGGTCCTCTGCTGAGGGTCTCACAAGGCTTCAGGTAAGATGTCAGCTGGAGCTGCAGTCTTCTTTGAGGCTCAAATGGGGAAGGATACACTTTTGTTGGCAGAATTCATTTCCTTGTGATTATGGGACTGAGGGCTTCAGTTCTTGCTGGCCGAGTGCCAGAGGCCATCCTCGGTTCCTACAGTGTGGCAGCTTGCTTCTTCCAAGTCAGAAAGAGAGTGAGAAAGAGGGACTCCAGCAAGGTCAGTTCTACAGTCTTAATAAAACAAAATCATATACAGGTAACATCCAATGACCTTTATTCTGTTGGTTAGAAATCAGTCACACTCCAGGGGAGCAGATGATACAAAAGTGACCAGATGTGGGGATCTTTGGGATCAAGACCCCTAAAGAGTCTGCCCACCACAAATGCATTGCTCAAGTTCACATACTACTGTGTTCCTGAGAAGAAAGTGTGATCACATTTATAACCAAACTAACAATTTAATTGGGGAAAGGCCAATCTAAACTAGCTCTAAGATGGATTTTAAAGGTTATCTTAAAATAAATATGTTATTTTCACCTGCCTATAATAACATGATTAATGGCTAACATTGTTCCTGTTCCTAAGGTAGAAAGTGTTTTCAAGAGAATACACTAAGTACTTAATGCTTATCTACAGATAAATTTATTTATAAGTGACAGTATTTGGTTCACTTAAACAAATCTGTTGAATCTCTAATTGGCAACATTTTAATAGAGCTAATAGATTTTCTTGATAACATAAGCAGTGGCAGAGTTTAGATAACACACTTGACTGCTAACCAGAAGGCTGGCAGTTCAAACCCACCAGCCACTCAGAAGGCAGGTTGGGCAATCTACTTCCATAGTGATACCACCTCAGAAACCCAAGGAGCAATTGCTATGAGTCAGGTCTGACTCAAAGGCACGTTACAATAACATCCGTAAAAGAATTTTCAAAATTATGTACCCCTTGCACATTTGTAAGTTGACATTTTAAAGATTTTCATCCTATCTTAAATGTTGTAAATGATATGATTTCTAGTATGTAAATATTGATGTGATTTTAAAAAGACAAAAAACTGTTGGGTCACTATTTTAAATGTATATAATGAATTGTAAAATATCACAGTGATTTGATACCTACTGCTAACATCTATTTGAGAAATAAATTAACAAATTCTTCTTTAGTAGTTTGATGTTACATTATTCCTTTTT